GGGGGCAGGGTCCTGGCCAGCCAGACACTGAGTGATGACGAGATGTTTGAGGTCTGGGGCCGGAATTGGGGTCCTTGGGGGGCTGGGGCAACATGGGGGGGGGAAGGATGCTGGCCAATCACACACTGAGGGCTGGGATGGGGTTCTTGGGGGGACGAACCAGCTGCTGGACAATTAAATGTTCTAGGTCTGGGGTGAGACGGGAATGGGGGTCAGGGGGGTTGGGATATAGGGGGGCTGGGACATTGGGCAGGGCGTACGGGGGACTGGGAAATGGGGTGCTGTGTGACGGATGTTGGCAGTGGGGACGGGGGGCCCCACTGTTGGGGGCGTGCCCTGGAGGGGAGCGTGTGGGGGAGAGATGGGGCAGGAGGACTTGCAGACCAAGTGTATTTAGGGGTGAGGCTGTGGGGCCAGGAGTACCCAGGGGATGGATCTGAGGGGTGAGTCTTGGGGAGGGGGCAGCAGCATTACTCCGGGGGTTTGGGGGAGGAGGGAGTTGGGGTACACCCAGAGGGGGAGAAATACAGCCGGGGGGTGGGGTTGGGGGGCTGGCTGGGGGAACGCTGAGTCCCCTGACCCCCACCCCACCCCACCCCTTGTTGCCCCATAGATCCGCATCGACAAGCTGGTGGACAAGTGGTCGGGCTCCATCGAAATCGGGGTGACGACCCACAACCCCAACAGCCTGGAGTACCCCGCCACCATGACCAACCTGCGCTCCGGTACCTGCCTCCAGGGGCGGGGTTGGGGGGAGGCCAGGACGCCTGGGTTCTCTCCCTGGCTCGGGGTGGGCGGGTCTGTGGGTTAGAGCGGGGGGGGGGCTTGGAGCCAGGACTCCTGGGTTCTCTCCTCAGCTCTGGGAAGGGAGTGGGGGCTGGTGGGTTAGAGCAGGGGGGGCTGGGAGCCAGAATGCCTGGGTTCTCACCCTGTCTCTGGAAGGGGCGAGTCCCTATGTCTGTGCCTCAGTTTCCCCCTCCTGCACTCCTGTGCAGCTCCTTTGATGGCTGAATTTTGGGGGAAGGAGGAGCTGAATTGGGGGTGGGGGGGCCAGCTGGCTTCCCCTTGACAGCAGCAGGACGGGGTGGGGGGGTGTCCCTGGGGTGCGGGTCCGCGTGGCTGATTGGCTGATGGGAGCCCCCCCCCCCCCCCCCCCCCAGGCACGATCATGATGAGCGGCTGCGGAATCCTGACCAACGGCAAAGGGACGCGGCGGGAATACTGCGAATTCAGCCTGGATGAGCTGCAGGTGAGTGCCCCCCCGCCCGTGACTGATCCCGCTGTCCCCCCCCAAAGCGCCCTGCGGATGAGCCCCCAAGACCCCCATAGCCAACCCCCTGTGGGCGCCCCGAAACCCCATCTCCAGCCCTCTGCAGGTGAGGGGGGGTCCCCAAACTCCTGCACCCCTCATGTGCGAACTAGGCTCCCCCAAACCTGGCCCTCTGTATCCCCACACATCTCTCATACCTCTGTACCCCCATCAGCCCCCCTCTACCCTCATCGGGTTCCCCGGCTGCAGCTCCCCCTAACTGCCCCCCCTCTTCTCCCCACAGGAGGGGGATCACATTGGCCTGACGCGGAAATCCAACAATGCCCTGCACTTCTACATCAATGGCATTGACCAAGGTAAGGGGCGCTCTCCCCTGGCAGGCAGGGTTTACTCTGGTGCCGTTATAACCAGCCACCCCGCCCCAGAGGTGGCCGCATCTGAGGGCCGGGCGAGGGGTCCCTGGATACCGGCCGCCCCACCCCAGAGGTGGCTGCATCTGAGTGCCGGGCGAGGGGTCCCTGTGTAACCAGCCGCCCCGCCCCAGAGGTGGCCGCATGGTGTGTGATTCTACCCTTCCCCCCCAGGCGTGGCTACCACCCTGACCCCGCTGGTTGTATACGGCGTGGTGGATCTCTACGGCATGGCGGTGAAGGTCACCATTGTCCACAACCACAACCACAGCGACCGGCTGCGGCGGAACAACGCCATCATGCGGGCGCTCTCCCCGGACGTGGGGCGCCGCGCCCTGGAGGCCGGCGGGATGGGCGAACCAGAGCCGGAGCGCCTGCTCTTCCACGCCAACTGCGGCCAGAAGGCGGCCATCATCAACGATGGGCGGACGGCCCTCCGCCCGCAGTGAGTGCCAGCCTGCCTCCACCAAGGTCTGGGGCCATCACATATCCTGCATCTCAGCGCCAGGCGAGGGTCCCTGGGGAACCGACCGCCCTGCCCCAGAGGTGGCTGCATCTTAGTGCCGGGCGAGGGCTCCCTGTGTAACTAGCCGCCCCACCCCAGAGGTGGCCGCATCTCAACGCCGGGCGAGGGGTCCCCGTGTATCCAGCCGCCCCGCCCCAGAGGTGGCCGCATCTCGGCACCGGGGTTGGTGGGTGGTTTCTGAGCTAACCCCCCGTCTCTCTCCCCCAGTGCCACGGACGACTTCAACCACGGCGTCGTCCTTAGCAACCGGGCCCTGCGGAACAACGAGGTCTTCCAGGTGCGGATCGACAAGATGGTGGACAAGTGGGCGGGCTCCATCGAGATCGGGGTGACCACGCACAACCCCACCTACCTGCAGCTACCCTCCACCATGACCAACCTGCGCTCAGGTCAGGGCCTGGGCACCCGACGGGGGCAGGAGGGGGGTAACACCCGGCCGCTGGCTCTGGCCCCATCCTCACCCTTCCTCCAGCTGGTACCCAGCTCCCTTTGGGAGAGTCCTGGCCCCCAATTGCCCCCAAAGTGGGGCTGGCAGCTGTGTCCTGTGGCGGGTAGTTCCCTGGGTTAACTGCTGTCCAGAGGGCTGGTGGCTGTTCCCTATGGCGGTTAGTTCCCTGCGTTAACCTCTCCCCGGGTGGACTGGTCCCTGTGTCCTGTGGCAGGTAGTTCCCCAGGTTAATTGCCAGCTGAGGGTGCTGGCAGCTGGCTGTTCCCGGGATAATTGGTGAGTGGAGCAGGGGCTGGCAGCCGTGCCCTGCGGCAGGTAGTTCCCCGGGTTAAGCTCTCCCCGGGCGGACTAGTACCTTTCCTGTGGCTGGTAGTTCCCTGGGTTAAGCTCTCCCTGGGGCAGACTGGTGGGTAGTTCCCTGGGTTAACCGATGACTGGGCGGTTATGGTCGTGCCTCGTAGGCTGCTGACAGCCCCACGCGGCTGAGCTGGTCCCTGGGTCCTGCGGCGGACAGTTCCGCGGGTTAACAGCGAGCCGCGTTAAACCCCCCCCCCCCATCCCTCCCCGTCCCCTCTCCCCCAGGCACCTGGATGATGACGGGCAACGGGGTTATGCACAACGGCACCACCATCCTGGATGAATACGGGCACAACCTGGACCGACTCAAGGTGAGTTGGGCGGGGGGGGGGCTGTGGGGGCAGCCCGTCCCCCCACCCCTGGGCAGTGCCCTCACCCCCTTTGCCATGTCCCCGTTCTCCCCCCCCCCCCCCCA